AAAAATAAACATTGGTCACTATCGGAATTTCTGGTGAATGCTCCTCCCCTTTGCGAGTATTGCTGGGATTTGGGCTGGGAGGTTTTGCCAAATTTAAATTTCTTGTTGGCGAGTTATTAGAATGATCACCGGACACCGATCTGGCTGGCTGTGGTCAATGTGGTCATTCTAATCCCCTTTTTATACTTTTTGCTGGGAAGTCGAGTTCCCAGAATGCATTGGCTGTCTTTCCTGACCTGTTGTCTAGGTAAAAAAAAACCCAAAAAACTTTTATTGGACCTGATACAACCTGTAGTGCTTGTGTAAAGGGGGCACTGTGGTGAGTACCCTTGTGTAAAGGGGGCTCTGTGGTGAGTACCCTTGTGTAAAGGGGGCTCTGTGGTGAGTACCCTTGTGTACAGGGGGCTCTGTGGTGAGTACCCTTGTGGAAAGGGGCACTGTGGTGAGTACCCTTGTGTAAAGGGGGCACTGTGGTGAGTACCCTTGTGTAAAGGGGGCATTGTGGTGAGTACCCTTGTGTAAAGGGGGCACTGTGGTGAGTTCCCTTGTGTACAGGGGGCACTGTGATGAGTACCCTTGTGTACAGGGGGCTCTGTGGTGAGTACCCTTGTGTACAGGGGGAACTGTGGTGAGTACCTTTGTGTACAGGGGGGCACTGTGGTGAGTACCCTTGTGTACAGGGGAACTGTGGTGATACCTTTGTGTACAGGGGGCTCTGTGATGAGTACCCTTGTGTAAAGGGGGCTCTGTGGTGAGTACCCTTGTGTAAAGGGGGGCTCTGTGGTGAGTACCCTTGTGTAAAGGGGGGCTCTGTGGTGAGTACCCTTGTGTAAAGGGGGGCTCTGTGGTGAGTACCCTTGTGTAAAGGGGGGCTCTGTGGTGAGTACCCTTGTGTAAAGGGGGGCTCTGTGGTGAGTACCCTTGTGTAAAGGGGGGGTGCTCTGTGGTGAGTACCCTTGTGTAAAGGGGGGCTCTGTGGTGAGTACCCTTGTGTAAAGGGGGGCTCTGTGGTGAGTACCCTTGTGTAACGGGGGCTCTGTGGTGAGTACCCTTGTGTACGGGGGGGCTCTGTGGTGAGTACCCTTGTGTACAGGGGGGCTCTGTGGTGAGTACCCTTGTGTACAGGGGGGCTCTGTGGTGAGTACCCTTGTGTACAGGGGGGCTCTGTGTGAGTTTTTGTGTACTGGGGCTCTGTGGTGAGTACCCTTGTGTAAAGGGGGGGGCTCTGTGGTGAGTACCCTTGTGTAAAGGGGCACTCTGACAACTCCTGATATGGAGGGGGCACGTTTTCTGGCCCTGTCTCAAGGGCATACCATGGCTGACAGAGCTGCCTGTAAGAACTGTACATGAATCTGATTTTCCTTCTCAGTGGGTCCACAATTACACAAAAGGCACAACTATCCACGTCGGCAATTCCCACCAATCATGATGCAGGTATTTGCTTCTCCGTGAACTCCCGAAACCATACACACGCACATAGGTAACGGAGCACCACTTAAGTCATGTAACACCGACTGTGCAGAAAACAGAAATACATACAAAAATGTGATACTTCGGACAGAATGATGAGAGGGGAAGCAGAACCAGACCCTGGTGAAAACAGGAGGAAGAACCCAACATTTTGGGGTTGTGTGGAGACCCCCACTCTCCTGCCCCCCCCCCCCCAACTCTTTTCACTAGAGCCTGGCTCCTGCTTTCTCTGCATATCCAGCTGCTATATAATGAAGACTTCAAATGCTTAGTGAACTGGTTCTCCATCACTCATGAATAGAAAGGCTCTTATGACCCACAAATACAATGAATGTTCCAGTGTCCCGTCCTGTGGATAACTCAGCCTTGGTAAAATGGGATTGTTCTCTCCTCCAGCACACAGAAGCTTTGTTGTATGGAATTCCAGTCCATAGCCGAGACTGTTGACGTCAACTATTCCGACGTTGTCCCGGGGCTCATCGGCCTCATCCCTGCGGAAAGCAAGTCAAACAACGTGCAACTTGCAGACCAGTTATGTTTACGATCGGTAAGGAAAGACGATTTTTAACAGTTTTTTTTTTTTTTTCTTTAACCGGTTTGCAAACCACCTATCGCAGTTTTACTGCAGCAGAGCAACATGTTTGCGGCCAGAAGGCGAGGGGGATCTGCCAGGCAAAGCATTTGGCTTGGTAGGACCATGTTGGAAAACCCTTTGTGCCTGTCAGGAGCCTTGCACCCCGGGGATCAGAGTAGAGGTCCTACCCCCCCAAATTCGGTGGTTGACACAAAATTTACTGCAGCAGCGCACACCCCTAAGTGCAGTTTTTTTTTGTGTTGGGCTTTTTGCACTCGCACGTGCATAAGGGGGGATATGATCTCCATGAATAAAAGCACATAAGGGGGGATATGATCTCCATGTATAATACATAAGGGGGGATATGATCTCCATGTATAATATAATATCATAAGGAGGGGGTATGATCTCCATGTATAATAATTAAGGTGGGGATATGATCTCCATGTATAATACATAAGGGGGGGGATATGATCTCCAAGTATAATACATAAGGGGGGGGATATGATCTCCATGTATAATACATAAGGGGGGATATGATCTCCATGTATAATACATAAGGGGGGATGATCTCTCCATGTATAATACATAAGGGGGGTATATGATCTCCATGTATAATACATAAGGGGGGGATATGATCTCCATGTATAAACATAAGGGGGGATATGATCTCCATGTATAATACATAAGGGGGGATATGATCTCCATGTATAAAATACATAAGTATGGGGATATGATCACCATGTATAATATATAAGGGGGGATATATGATCTCCATGTATAAATACATAAGGGGGGGTATGATCTCCATGTATAATACATAAGTGGGGATATGATCACCAATGTATAATATATAAGGGGGGATATGAATCTCCATGTATAATACATAAGGGGGGGGGATATGATCTCCATGTATAATACATAAGGGGGGATATGATCTCCATGTATAATACATAAGGGGGGTATGATCTCCATGTATAATACATAAGGGGGGTATGATCTCCATGTATAATACATAAGGGGGATATGATCTCCATGTATAATACATAAGGGGGGGATATGATCTCCATGTATAATACATAAGGGGGATATAATCTCCATGTATAATACATAAGGGGGATATGATCTCCATGTATAATACATAAGGGGGGATATGATCTCCATGTATAATACATAAGGGGGGATATGATCTCCATGTATAATACATAAGGGGGGATATGATCACCATGTATAAATACATAAGGGGGATATGATATCCATGTATAATACATAAGGGGGATATGATGATTCTCCATGTATAATACATAAGGGGGGATTATGATCTCCATGTATAATACATATAGGGGGGATATGATCTCCATGTATAATACATAAGGGGGGGATATGATCTCCATGTATAATACATAAGGGGGGGATATGATCTCCATGTATAATACAATGTATAATCTTCTGGGTTTAACCTCTTCCTGCGGATGTGTGCATATATATACATCCAAAACATAAACAATGCTGTGTTGAGGAGCGTGCGCCATACATGCTTCCGGCACAGCTACCAGTGGTTACCTGCAGGGGTGGACTGACAACTCATGGGCCCCCAGGCAATAGGGGGATCATGGGGCCCCTGTGTCCTTGGCCAAACTCAAAAAAGCCTATGAAAAAGGTACCAGGGGCATCTCATGGGGGCCCCTACTGACCCCGGGCCGTCGGGCAGTGCCCGAGTTTCCAAATATTCAGTCCGCCCCTGGTTACCTGAAACCTCCTGATCTCTACTTGCCATTGGGAGCTTTTTGATCATGTGACTGCTATGACAGCCAGTCACAGGGGTCACATGCTCAGAATGCCCGCCTCCCGATGTCAAGAAGGTCCTAATGGGCTAGTAGGTGGTGGTGGGAAGGGACTGAGGACATCATGTGGTGGAATTGAGTTACTGCAGTCGACTGCATCAGAGAGGAAGAGAACATTGCAGGCAGAGCTTTTTTTAATTATAATACTGCGGGGGAGGGGGGGGCATTATATAAACAAAGATTTCACCCACAGTTCAGATTTGATTCGATCGATTTAATTCGATTAAGATCGTTTTCTACCCATTGCAAATGTATGAACGACTATTGCAGCTGTACAGCTCACTTTTGGAGGTGGCTGATTATAATACGAGGAAAGAAGAGAAATATTGCTAATATCACTCTCCCTCTCTGTGTGTTTCTTAGGGGCACTGGCAGAATGGCTGGCGGACCACCCAGTCATGATCAGTAAGGTGTTACCGCTCGTCCTCCACGCTCTGGGGAATCCTGAACTGTCTGTGTCCAGTGTCTCCACGCTAAAGAAAATCTGCCGGGAATGCAAATACGACCTTCTCCCGTACGCTGCCAACATTGTCGCTGTGTCCCAGGTAACACAATACTGCAGACTCCATCTACTGCTATCCATTTATGTGTACGCATGGCGTTCTATTCACTAAAGAAAAGCACTTTCTTTCCACTGACCACCAATGTAAGGGACATTCTTCCCACTGACCCCCAATGTAAGGGACATTCTTCCCACTGATCACCAATGTAAGGGACATTCTTCCCACTGATCACCAATGTAAGGGACATTCTTCCCACTGACCCCCAATGTAAGGGACATTCTTCCCACTGACCCCCAATGTAAGGGACATTCTTCCCACTGACCCCCAATGTAAGGGACATTCTTCCCACTGACCCCCAATGTAAGGGACATTCTTCCCACTGACCCCCAATGTAAGGGACATTCTTCCCACTGACCCCCAATGTAAGGGGACATTCTTCCCACTGATCACCAATGTAAGGGACATTCTTCCCACTGACCCCCAATGTAAGAGACATTCTTCCCACTGACCCCCAATGTAAGGGACATTCTTCCCACTGACCCCCAATGTAAGAGACATTCTTCCCACTGATCACCAATGTAAGGGACATTCTTCCCACTGACCCCCAATGTAAGAGACATTCTTCCCACTGACCCCCAATGTAAGAGACATTCTTCCCACTGACCCCCAATGTAAGAGACATTCTTCCCACTGATCACCAATGTAAGGGACATTCTTCCCACTGACCCCCAATGTAAGAGACATTCTTCCCACTGACCCCCAATGTAAGGGACATTCTTCCCACTGACCCCCAATGTAAGGGACATTCTTCCCCCTGATCACCAATGTAAGGGACATTCTTCCCACTGACCCCCAATGTAAGGGACATTCTTCCCACTGACCCCCAATGTAAGGGACATTCTTCCCACTGATCACCAATGTAAGGGACATTCTTCCCACTGACCCCCAATGTAAAGAGACATTCTTCCCACTGACCCCCAATGTAAGAGACATTCTTCCCACTGACCACCAATGAATGAGTGAATTACTGAGATCTGGAAATTCAAGTGTTCCCCTGGGATAAATAGTCAGACTGGTCTCGGGGACCTCCTGTAAGCGTAGAATTCTGTTGTGTGTGTATTATACGGAGACTCTTCCTTCACTAAAATATTTTTTTCTTCTCACATTGCAGGACGTGTTGCTGAAACAGATTCACAAGGTAATTGGGAGATCTCCCCTGTCTGTACAGCTTGAAGATTTGCCCCAACCTATCAGTGTTATGAAGGGGAGGGGGCCGTGTTCTCCTTGTCTGTTCTCCTCATTATATCGATCTTCTCTTTCAGACCAGTCAGTGTATGTGGCTGATGCAGGCGTTGGGCTTCCTGTTATCGGCCCTGCAGGTGGAGGAGATTCTCAGCAACCTACACTCCCTCATCACCCCCCTATATCCAGCAGCTGGAGAAGTTGGCTGATGAGACGGTGAGTGCTGCTCGGCATGTCCATTGTTCTCATGTTGTGGAAAACAGTGATTGCTTAACCGCTTTCCCACCGCCCTATAGCAGATGTACGACTACAGGGCGGCAGGGGTGCGCAAAATCACGTGTGTATGTATGTATATGTGTGTGTGTATGTATGTATGTATGTATGTATATATATATATATATATATATATATATATATATATATATATATAATATATATATATATATATATATATATATATATATATATATACATACACATACATTTTTTATATATATATATCTTTATATATGGGATTTTTTGCATTTCCAGGCAAGGGGCGCGTGCCCTACCTGTGCCGCTATTCACAGCCTCGGCTGTCAATCACCGGGTCCGGTGATTACTCGCCGGCACCCGGTGACCGCCGAGCATTTCCGATGGGGATGAGAGCTGTATGTAAAACAAAACATCTCTCTCCCCTGTCAGCTCCTGCACACTGCTTTGTATGGCTCTGCATAGCAGTGTGCTTACAGTGGAAAGCACACACACAGCCTTCAGTAAAACAGCACACAGTTAACCCTTTGATCGCCCCCAGATGTTAACCCCTTCCTGCCCCGTGCCATTAGTACAGTGTCAGTGCTTTTTATTAGCATTGATCACTGTATTGGTGTCAGTGGGGATGTCCGTGACACCAAGTCAGCTCCCCCTAGTGTCAGATTGCCTGCCGCAGTCCTGCTGTAAGTCGCTGATTGCCGCCATCACTAGCGGAAAAAAAAAAAATAATTCCAGTATCCAGTATCTATACCGCCATTTGTAAACGCTATAACTTTCAGGTAAACCAATTAATTTACACGTATTGGGATTTTTTTTTTTTTTAAGCAAAGACATGGAGCGGGAGACATTTTGGCCTATAATTTATGACGAAATTTGATTTTTTAACATTTTTTTCACTAGACATGTTTAATAGCAAAAAGTGAAGAATATTGTTTTTTTTTTTTTTTTCTCAAAATTGTTGGTCCTTTTTTTTTTTTTTTTTTTTTGCGCAAATAATAAAAACCGCAAAGGTGATCAAATAACACCGATAAAAAGCTCCATTTGTGAGGAAAAAAAAGGACATAACGTTAATTTGGGTACAGCGCTGAATGACCGCGCAATTGTCAGTTAAAGTAACGCAGCGCCGCAACGCAAAAAATAGCCTAGTCAGAAAGAAGGGGAAATCCTCTGGAGGGCGAGGGGTTAAAGTGGAATTCCGGTCACACAATCTAAGCCTAAACCTGCTCCCGCCCCCTATTCTTGGCCTGTTCTATCTAACCCATAAAGGAAAGTTTCCAATACCTTCCTTTTCTGAAGTCGGTCCGGTAACATGATCGGGTCACAGCACCGGCTTCCGTGTAGAGGAGGGACCACCGACAATGGCTGCACCATAGTACGTCTATGGGTGACATCCTCGCCTAGGCTCTGCAGTCGCTGTCGCTGCTCTCGCCTCTACACTGAAGCCGCCGATGGAGAGATCATGTGATCGGGGCCGGAGGGACTCCAGAATAGGTAAGTATGCACATCTTTCCTTTTACAGGGTGGATAGAATGGGGGTGGGAGTAGGTTTAGGCTTAGTTAGGTTGACTGGAATTACACATATAAAGCGAAATGTACGGTTTTGTATATATTTTATGTTATGGTCGGGACAAAAACACTTATTTAACTAAAGAAAAAACAAAAAAAAAAAGAGTAACTGTACCTTTTTTTTTATATTTTATTTTCATTGCTAGCCAGCAGATGGAGCTATAAACATTTTTGGAACACAATTTTGAATCTCCCTATCAGCTGCAGGAAAAAAAGCCTGTCTATAGAGTTCTATAGCTCAGGCTTTGGGAATCCTTTGGCATGTATTAAAAACACTGATGTAACTTTAAAGTCTAACTCTGGGAAAGGTAAACACCTTCCCCCTCAGTGGGGCTGTCCCACAATGCAAGGGTTAAATGCTTGTTCAGGCCTGGCGGAAGGACAATAAAAACTTTTTTTTTTTTTCTTACTCGATTGGCTGCTTTCCCTGCAGACGGGGCTTTCCCATGCTCTGGCAATGGACTGTTTTCAGGGTCCTCTCGTCCAGTGCACGACTCTTTAAAGGGCATTTTCATTGGATGGTAATGTGTATGCTGCTGGATGTGGCTTAGGCCGTGGCTGCTATGGCTGAAGGCTTTACAACGGTCTTGGCATCGAGTTCTATTCCTGTCACTTCCAGAAATTCTTATGGTAAATGAAAGTTTTATTTTATGCAGTAGTCATGTTTGAGTGAAGGTTTTGTACAATATATCTGTGCTTCCGGATTCCAGGAGTTGTGTGTGAAGTTTATGATGATTTGTATTTGTATAATGTCATTCCATTTTTTTTTCTTTCTGTGCAGTGCCGAACCCCTCTAATAAGCTGGCGATAAAAAAAAAAAAATCCACATTCTCGGCCTCCTCTCCAACCTCTTCACCACATTGGACATCAGCTGCCATGATGATGAGCACGAGGGAGCAGAGGTCAAGAAGCTGCCGGGTTGCACATGGACCCAATCCGGGGTGGCTTAGTCAACCGAAGCTGATCCTCTTCCTTTTCCTTTCTTCACTCACTCTCCTCCTCCCTCTCTCTCCCCTCTCACATCCCCCTTCCTCCCTCTCTCTCCCTCTACTCTCCCCCCTTCCTCCCTCTCTCTCATCCCCCCTCTCGTCCCCCCTTCCTCCCTCTCTCTCCTCCCCTCTCTCCTCCCCTTCCTCCCTCTCTCAACTCCCCTCTCTCCCCCCCCCTTCCTCCCTCTCTCTCCCCTCTCTCCCCCCTTCCTCCCTCTCTCTCCCCTCTCTCCCCTCTCTCCCCCCTTCCTCCCTCTCTCTCCCCTCTCTCCCCCCTTCCTCCCCCTCTCTCCCCCCTTCCTCCCTCTCTCCCCTCTCTCCCCTCTCTCTCCCCCCTTCCTCCCTCTCTCTCCCCTCCTCTCCCCCTTCCTCCCTCTCTCTCCCCTCTCTCCCCCTTCCTCCCTCTCTCTCCCCTCTCTCTCCCCCTTCCTCCCTCCCTCTCCTCCCTCTCTCCCCCCTCTCTCCCTCCCTCTCCCGAGCCCCCCCCCTCCCTCTCTCCCCCTCTCCCCCCTCCCTCTCTCCCCCTCTCCCCCCTCCCTCTCTCCCCCCCTCTCGCCTCTCTCTCCCCCTCTCGCCTCTCTCTCCCCTCTCTCCTCCCTCTCTCTCCCCCCTCTACTCTCCCCCCCCCCTCTCTCTACCCCCCTCTCTCTCCCCCCCTCTCTCTCCCCCTCTCATCTCCCCCCCTCTCTCTCCTCCCTCCCTCCCTCTCCTCCCTCTCTCTCCTCCCTCTCCTCCCTCTCTCTCTGCCCCTCTCCTCCCTCTCTCTCTGCCCCTCTCCTCCCTCTCTCTCTGCCCCTCTCCTCCCTCTCTCTCTGCCCCTCTCCTCCCTCTCTCTCTCCCCCTCCACTTCTTGACATCATTGCTTACTACTTGTGAAATCTGTGAATGGTCACAGAGGTCACATGGTACAGGGCTATTGAGAACAGCCTTGTACCATGTGACAAGCTGTGACCAATCACAGCTCACACCGTAGTTCTCAATGGCTGCAAGAATGCAGCCAGAGAGGAGAAATGATTGCTTTTACAGCCTTTATAGGTGTAAAAGCAATCGGTGTAAAAAAAAAAAAAAAAAAAAAAAATCTTCATCACCCCCCACAAGTAGTACAGTGTCACTATGGTGACACTGTACTGCTAGGGTGACAGTATGTAACAGAAAACCCCCCGAAAAAATAAATAATTAAAAATGTAAAAAACTGTCTAAAAAAGAAAGCTAAAAAATTCATATGGGTACAGTGTTGCATGACCGTGCAATTGTCATTCAAAGTGTGACAGCGCTGAAAATTGGCCTGGACAGGAAAAGGGGTGCCCTTACTTGAAGTGGTTAATTTGCAGGGGTTTCCTCCCACTTCCTGTTTGGCTACAGGACAGGAAGTGAGGGGAAATCTCCCCAATGGGACACAGATGGCGAAAACAAATCTGACAGGGTCATAATCCTCCCTTGCTCTATCCAAAATGAAGAAAAAAAAAAGGGGGGTTTGCTTATAGTTCTGCTTTATATAATTTCCAAACATGCTATATTTGCAGTTTAACTTGTACACAGTCAGCAATGCACTTTCTTTGCTTTGTGCAGGTCGTTCTGGTCTTACAGCAAGTCTTCCAGTTGATTCGAAAAATTCTCAGTACTTGGCTGAACGATGCCCAGGTGGTGGAGGTAAGTCCTGGAGGTACACGTGCACTACTGTGTTGCAGCAGTTCCTTTCAGACCTGGAGGGCTCATGAACATGGGGGGCAGACCGTCTGTGCTCAGGGGTGTACATATCTATGTATTTATTTCAGGTACTTATACAGTGCCGTCAATTTGCGCAGCGCTTTACATATATATTGTACATTCACATCAGTCCCTAACCTTCGAGGGGCGTACAATCTAAGGTCCCTAACCCTCAAGGGGTGTACAATCTAAGGTCCCTAACCCTCAAGGGGTGTACAATCTAAGGTCCCTAACCTCAAGGGGCGTACAATCTAAGGTCCCTAACCCTCAAGGGGCGTACAATCTAAGGTCCCTAACTCTCAAGGGGTGTACAATCTAAGGTCCCTAACCCTCAAGGGGCGTACAATCTAAGGTCCCTAACCCTCAAGGGGCGTACAATCTAAGGTCCCT